GCGGGGCTGCTCCCCAGCCTCTTCCCGGGGCCATCCCAGCGTCGCTCCCGTTAGCGCCTGGAAAAGCCGCTCCGCACCGAAGCGCCGGCGGCAACGAACGCGTCCCCGAGGTCTGCGCGGGCGCAGAGCGGGCCGGGACCCTCAGCCCTCCCGCTCTTCTTCCAGGGTCCGGATTTCGGCTACGTGAGCAGAGAGCCCCTGTTCGAGGACGTCACCAGCCTCGACTCGTTCGGCAACCTGGAGGTCAGCCCGCCGGTGACGGTCGGCGGCAAGGAATATCCCCTGGGGAGGATCCTCATTGGAAGCAGCTTTCCCACGTAAGTGAGATGAGGAATCTGCGAGTTTAGGGGCAAAAGAAGAGCAAAAATACCCTTAAATACCACACAAGAAGAAAAAACAATGTTAAAAGGCTTAATCAAGTTTGCAACATAGCCCCAGTGCTAAATTTCTGCCTTGACGTTCGCTCCCTTCTCCACACCACCCCTCCTTCCCTTTAGTAATTGCACGGATATATGCACAACTTTTATTCTTTCTTTTTGGGGGCCATTTCGCCCCCAGAGCTGCAGGCAGGAGGATGACCAAGGTGGTGCGGGATTTCCTCTACGCGCAGCGGGTGCAGGCCCCCGTGGAGCTCTACTCCGACTGGCTGACCGTGGGCCACGTCGACGAGTTTGTCACCTTCGTGCCCACCAATGACGCCAAGGTAGGAGGGACCCCGTGCTGCTCCGCGGCTCAAGCAGCCTCTCCACCCGGGAGACGGCTCGGGAAGCGGCTCCGTGCGCCGGGCGCGGGCCGGGAACGGGTGCCCCGTGCAGCTGCACTTGCCAACGGCTCCGCGGGGCAGGCTGGATTCCTCCAAAAGGCACCTGCACAAAACAGAAAACCCCCAAAGTGACTAGTGGGACTCAAATCATAGAATCACAGAATCCTTAAGGTTGGAAGGGACCTCTCGAGGTCATCTAGTCCAACCCCCTGCACACGCAGGGTCACCTAGAGCACGTGGCACAGGACTGCGTCCAAGCGGGTTTGAAGATCTCCAGAGAAGGAGACTCCACAACCTCTCTGGGCAGCCTGTTCCAGGGCTCTGGCACCCTCACTG